AAATTCGCCGTGTGTTTTCTGCTGACAACCACGTTCATTTAGGCGGAAATGATGTGGATTTCACATGCTGGTGAGTTCTCACTAATATAATTATCCTGCACCGCTTGATTGATTCAATTAATGCATTTCTCACAATGTCCTCAATGACAATCTCACCAAACAAGTGCATGTAGTATGGATGCCAGTGCAGTGTGATCAGGTGAATATGGGCTAAAGTAAGCGGTCAAGTGAGGTGAGCACATGAGACAAGCAAAGTGAAGTGGTGTGATTTGATTCCACTGGTTCCATTCCACATAAACCTGCATATTCGTCTATCCCATCGAAATAAAAAGTTACTTCCTCATTCCATTCTCGTTTTACAGGCAGTCCAATCCTGCCTGACATCACAAAATTCATGCAGCAGGAAGTATTCAACAATGACTATACAAAGTTGATGAACTACTACATGATACAACTTGTAGAAATTGTCAGGGCTGCATCGTTGGGACCTCCAGTGGTTCCAATTGTTTGGCAGGATGTATATGAGGATGGATTTCGTGTAATTCAACACTGATAAGGGATTATATAACATTCAGCTTGTATACATTCCCTAAGTCGGTTGAGACATGAGCTGGACTAATTCTCTCACTCTGACCGATATGAGCAATATAATGACAACTGAGAATAAGTCGGTTAGCTGTGGTCGTGTCTCTATTCTCACGTGCACATTAAGTCATCTATACTGATACAGAGTATTCGAATTCTCAGTTGAGGAGTGACTAGTCGCGGCAGCATTAGATACACATCTCGATCAACTGTCAATACGCTCAAGTAGAGAGATGTCGTCTCCTGACAGTCTCACTAATCAAATCTCGAGCAAATGACAAATCACTTGATGAAAACACATAATAAGCATGCAGGCAGGCAGGCTGGTAGAGTCCAATCATACAAGAGAATAAAATAATCAGGCCTAATACACAATGATCGATGTAGTATGAAGATTTGTTCAATCGAGTTGTTTCGAGAAAAGTCAAGTGCTGATTGATAATCACCAAATGACAAGTATTCATTAGACTGAACTTACTCATGTATTTCGCTAACCATATGATAGATATAACTTACAAACCAAGGTGACTGCAAAATACTAATAATGAGTTAGCATTATATTGCAGGAGAGAGCATACATACTCATCCACTACTGCATGACAGGATTCCAGTGAATGTTCTTTAGTGTTCCGCAAGAAAACCGAAACGCACACAAACACAAATTTACACCATCCATCCATCCATCAATCAATCAATCAGAAGGTCAATCACTGCTCCATGTTTCACTCAAGTTATGTATTGCAGTGTGATGTCCACTCATCTACTAATTAGTGACTGACTCAATCTCCTCTCTCCTCATCAACACACTGAGCATGTGACTGACTGACAGACAGACAGACTCTGATGAATTCTTCTTCTTCTGTGTTTAGCTTGCAAGGGACATGATTGTTCAAGTATACAAATCTGATGAATGGAAGAAGAGTGTTGAGGAGATCACAAGAGCGGGATTCAAAGTGCTCATATCGTCGTGTTGGAATTTCAGTGATGTGTGAGTCTCAGAGACGACTGGAGAGCGTTCTACGAATGTGATCCCTTGGATTTTCAAGGTAACTCCGAGTATTTTCAAAGTTGACGTTTTCAATGATATCAATGCTAACCAATCCACACGGGTAAATCTTTGTCACTAGTTGCATAAGCGTCTCAAGTATCCAGTCCTCATTATAGATGTTACATCCACTTACGAGCTTGCCTTGTAACCGGAAGGTCCTGGGTTGGATGAAACAGCAGCCGTCCAGTACTCCCTGGTTTCAATGGTTCTCTAACTGATATCAGTCCGTGATCAACTCGTAAAACCAAACTATAGAAAATTAATCTGATGCTCACTAGTGACTTGCTACAGGATGGAGCTTCCTGGAGTTCTAGTGAGGTCCAATTAGATGTCAAGTGTGTGGATGCATGTCCCACCAACGACAATGGTTGGGGTCGCGCTAAATCACGAATTGGAAGGAGTTAGAATTTATGAGCCATTGAATCGGGTAAATATATAAATATATATTTACGTACAAAAGGGACATCTCTTGTTTTTAAAAAAACACGTATAATAAAATTGTATGAACTGTCATCAAAATTTAACCTCAGACTTTCAAAAATCAGTCTGCTCTTTCTAAACACTTTAAACAGAGTGCACTCTTTATCAGACTGGTCGTAGATACCTGAAAATGGAAATATATGTGTTTATGCAGTTTACAATGGTGTGTGTATATGTGTGCATGGCTAAACAGTTGTACAACATTTGTTAGCTACTTTATAAGAAGATACAGTCAATCGGGAATTTTGACCAAGTATCATTAATTAGTGATACAAATCCAATTTTTTATTTATTAATCAGAATTTACCATGCCATGCATCAGCTAACATCACACCTTCATGTCTTCTAAAAACTGTTCGGATTCACCCATATATGTACGGCTTCCGCAACTAGTCTTTCTTTATACGAACCAAAACCTTTCTGTAGAACCTTAGTCCTACCAAAGTCGATCTTTTGTCCCGTTTCTATCGAATGCAGTGTAATCGCTGATCTGTTTTCTAGCTTCTCTAAGTCTGCAGAGGTCTTCGGAAACACCTTTGGACATTGTTTATGCTCTTTCACTCTTATATTTACCTGTCTGCAAGGTTCTCCTACATATACGGTGTCACAGTCCCCACAATTGATCTGGTACACACAATCCTGTTGGTTGTCTTCTATTTATTTTATCTTCAACCTTCAACAGTGATGAGCGTAAGGTGTTAGTTAGTTGCACCAAAATACACTCTTACGTCATCATCATAAAGGATTCGCTTTATCTCATCCGATGTTTCTTGGCGGTAAGGAATCATCACTGTACTAACCCAATTCTTAGCAACAGGTTTCCAGCCATCCTTATCTTCACATTTCAAATATCTTTTTATAAAGGATTTAAGATAATTATTTGATTCAAGAGTGGATTGAACCAATCTTAGTTCCATGCTAATCTCTTCCTCCTCAGTACCTAGACGTTTGGCTCTGTTAATCACATTCTTCGCTACAGTTACTTTGGTGGTAAAGGGGTATGCTGAATAGTCAGTAGTCTAGGTATCTATCCAAACTTTTCGGCTTTCTGAAAATGCTCATTTTAAATTTACCATTTAGTTTTATTTTTACTAAACACTCCAGGAACGCCAAATCATTCTCGTCGGATTCAACCTCTTTGGAAAACTTTATAGTTTCTGACATATTGTTTATTAAGTGAAAAACTTCATTATTCAACAAACTGCGTCTCATTATGACGAAGGTATCATTCACGTGTCTTAACCACATTTTTGGAGGAATAGAGCATGTCATAATTGCATTTGTTTCTAATGAGTGCATAAACAGATTGGCGACTAGCGGAGATACTGGTGATCCCATAGCAATCAATGCCTTCTGTTTAACGGTAATAACCCCCCTACAATTCACTATCAACGCGAGAAATTTCAAAGAGGTTACTCCCTTCACTTATCTAGTCGGGCGACATCGTTTCAACTACAGGCGGACAGCACGGATGAGGATTTCAAAGCCAGAATCGGAAGGGCAAGATCAAGACCTACATCAACCTGAAACCAGTTTGGAAACCTTCTGCACTCAGTCCGTATCAAGGACAAGATTCGGATTTTCAACACCAATATTAAGGCAGTCAATTCTTCTCTATGCGTCAGGAACTTGGCGTGCGCATCACGAAAAGCATCTTTAACAGGCTACGGCAGATTTTTATCAACATCTACCTCCATATTCAAGATCAGATGGCCAGCAACAGGGAATTAGCAACAAGAAACCCTGGAAAAGTAACTAAACAAGAACCTAATTCGTGGATGGTGACTAGCAGTGGAATCCAGCTTGATGCGCACTCCCTCCTATTTGGGACTCGTCTAACCAAGTGGTGGTCTAGTGAATAACGCTTTAGCGTTTGAAACTATGGCCACTGGGTTCGAGCCTCGATGGGAACATCATCACTCACTGGGGAATGCAGGTATATCCAGTTGGTTGACGAGTCCCAAATAGGACGAAATGCGCATCCTGGATTGGATTCCACTGCTAGTCACCATCCTACCAATTAACTTCTAATTACATGCACAGACATCGTCGATGCATCTCCACAAGAAACCTATATGTCTACCTGAGGCCGAGCACTTCGGTCCAATCATTCGATGAGAAAATCGAAAATTGAATTAAATAAACAAGACCCTACTGCTCAGGAAATATATTCCGAAGGTAACGGAAATGGATTGAGCATACACTGAAGAGACCTTCGAATGACATCGCGCTCCAGCTAAGCCATCTTTCGAATAGTACCCGAATAAGAAACGACGAGTAGGGTCGTCCGAGGGTAACGTGGAGGAGGAGATCAGAGGATATCACCTATCGCTGGGCCACCTAAACAGCGTCACAAAGAATAGGACAGAGTGGAGACGCACCCCCTTTTGAAGCCTTATGTGTCCCACTCGGAACCCGAGGGAACAATAATATTAATAATCAAAGTAAAAAGCCAAGCTACTGATAAAAATTACCTTTCAGGAAAGAATTTTATTTTTTGTTTTCTCGTTACTGTTGTACAAAAAATATGAATAAATTTTACAAAAATCGTTGATATGCGCACTTGAAGATAGGCAAAGTTGTGAGTAGACAAAATACTCTGAAGAGGAAAGAAGGCGAACAGCATATATCTATATGTATAAATACACAAAATCAACTTATTTTTCTATGGATCCATTGAAGGTACCATTACAACATTGCTCAGAGTCTGTATTCAAACCATTAGTTATCAAAATCTGTCTATAAGTTGAAAATAAATTTCTAATTAAATAACTTGTCACTTTCGGTTTCATATACTCACAAGACTTTCGACTAGCCTCGTATCGATCAATATAAGCGGTTAGAGTATCCAGCTGCACTACTTTATTCAGTGTACAATGATTGTGTATTAAATAGAATAATAGAAAATCTATAAAGAAATGAGTTAAACAAACTTCCCATAGTGAAGAGGGTTGACGATCTGCAATCAACTGGCTCAAGTATGTTAAACAATCACTAGTTATGCTTTTCATCCAATCATTTTTAAGACATTCGTACACCATCCCCTCTTTTTCTTCACCATTCACCACCATCGCCGCCGCCGCCTCCTCTTCCTTCTCTTTCTCTTCCTCATATCTAGCCATATAGAAATGTACAATCTGACCGATATTTAATAACATTAAACTGCATACCACACCCAGACATGGTGGTGTACTTTCTGATGATGACGATGAAAGAAGGCGTGAAAATGCTTCATACCAACGATTAAGAAACAGCGGTTCTTTTGGAAATAGCCGAAAACTAACAGTTAAACACATTGATGATAAACGCAGACATTCATTTGACAAATAATCATTATCATTTGAAGATGATGATGATGCATTTAGAAGAAGATTAATACCAATCCAACACCAAGCAAGTTGTTCAATCTCTTTACCACGTCGTATTTTAGAAATTCCAGCTTCACGATGTACCATATTCGTAGCATTTATCCATCGTTTATTTCCAATATTCAATATAATTGAAAAGAAGAACTTTTCAGCTGAACGTGAACGATCAATTAACCGTTTTATACACTTTTCTGTGTTTATTTACAACTTCTGATGATTTTAAACGTAAATGAGCCAGAATTAAAGCTTCTTTAACTTTCTTATAACTTAACAGTAATTCAATTGCTTCGTGAATACGATAGGCACACACCAGTAAAGTAGCAGAGACGACAGTATCAGGACTAGTGGTTTGCATATCTTTAATCTATCATCATTGTATTTTTCAGGGGAAAAAAAACAAGAAACACAATCACGATTACACACAGAAAACAGGGTTATTCATCAAACATTTTGTAAAATATTTCATAAATGCACATCATGAACACAACCGATTATCAATAAACGGACAGTCACACAGATTTTCACAAATTCCAGCTTAAAGCAGAGTTATGAATAGATTCTTTTATATATCGTTATGACCCAAAGAGCTACACTTTTGCCTTCTGTACTACACGGAGGGAGTGTGGCAACTTGAACTGCTGCACATCTATGCATGTTTCCACTTTGAAACAAGTTAGCCAGTGACTACCTATGGGACAATCAATGTTAATCTCCGTAGAGAAGTTCATCCCTTCATGATGTAAAACTTCCAAAAATCCAAAACAAGTAGATAGAAACGTAATTACAATACCGAAAAACACAACGAATATAATTAGACCAAAATCTGAAAGATGACAAAAGGTGAATATTTCATACTGTGAATGACCTTCCATGATGTTTCCAAGTGTCACATACGATTGACTTCTGTACCTCGAGGACTACAGTCGTGTAACCATCACCGCGCTACATAGTTCAAACAAATAGTCAGTGAGTCCATGGATCGCTGCCAGGTTATGTCTAATCACTCCAAATAATACTCTTCACATCTCAATGCTATTTCAGGCAAATATATCTAGTCGAAACAATCAATCGTAAACATGAACCTGAGCAAACCAGTGCGTCATCGGAGTCTACGCACATGTTCAATAAGCAGTGTCAATCTTCTACTGACCCCCGTCAAAGATAGTCTATCGCTGTGTCGTCTATTTGAGTCCGACGATGATTCGGTGAAGCAGGTCGACAGGATGGGCACTGTCTGTCTTTGTGCCTGAAGCTAGTGCTGACTAGGAACAGATGATTATCTGAGTATATTATTTCTTATGTTTTTGATTACAGCTTGATGCCACACCGTATTTTCAGTACAAGTATGGAATTTTCAGCATGGATATCGGTAGCCTAAATTTTGTAGGCCTATCATAGATATCGCGTGTGCATCGTCAGGGGATTGAACCCTGGACCATGTGCATGGTCGGCGAGAGTTCTAACCACTGCGCCACCGACGCACACTGTAAAAGACGATCACCGTTCTCAGTTCGCCATCAAGGAACTCCAGCATAACTTTTCTACCTCAGCATTGAAGTCGCCAGCCAAAATGACTACCTATGAGTGTCTTGCTTTATACAGCAAAACTAGACAGATTTTGGTGGGAATGATTCTCTAATTCATCCGAACTGCAGTCCATTGGGTAGTAAGCAGAGATTATGAAAAGACACCGACGGGTAACATAGTCCTTTCTTCTTCAAACGGACCCGTTCAGACAAACCGCACAATAATGCCTATCTATTGGGATCCAGTCAATGAAGGATTTTTCTGCCCCAACACTCAGTGCAATCCCTACGCCCAAGAGTCCTCGTAATTGCACAGTCAAAACAACTGGTACCTCCGTATGCGTAACACACATACTACCCACCTCATAACAAACAGCATCATAGCCACATTGACTAGTCGCCCCTCTTTGCCTTATGGCACAAACAACAGTGAAACACCGATAGCTCCTAAATACACTGACGAATACAACTTGAGAAATACCGAACTGAATTAACTAATTGAAGCCGTTAGGCGGCCTACGGATACAATATACAACATAGCTTTTACGTGCTATAGTAAACCAATTTGATTTTCTAATGCTCACTTCTTTCATGTGTGGTAAAGGCTGCTCGTCCTCGGTAAACCTTCTCGTCGTTCGTCCTGTTACGCGACGGTCGTGGCTTTAGCTGACTCCATAAGCAGTGGTATTCATTATGTTTAAATTGTTATATGCGGTGTGATTAGAAAACGTGCCAACTGTGAGTGGAGTTCAACTTTACACTACTAAGCAGTCCAGTTTCGCTGAAAACAAAATAGAACGCGCTACCATCTTCCTGTAAACAGGATACATCCAACCACCTTCGAAAGTCACTTTGCTCTTCCTTTCCTCAGGCAACATATACACGTATCTTCACAGTCAGTCCCGTAGAAATGTACAATCTGACCGATATTTAATAACATTAAACTGCATACCACACCCAGACATGGTGGTGTACTTTCTGATGATGACGATGAAAGAAGGCGTGAAAATGCTTCATACCAACGATTAAGAAACAGCGGTTCTTTTGGAAATAGCCGAAAACTAACAGTTAAACACATTGATGATAAACGCAGACATTCATTTGACAAATAATCATTATCATTTGAAGATGATGATGATGATGCATTTAGAAGAAGATTAATACCAATCCAACACCAAGCAAGTTGTTCAATCTCTTTACCACGTCGTATTTTAGAAATTCCAGCTTCACGATGTACCATATTCGTAGCATTTATCCATCGTTTATTTCCAATATTCAATATAATTGAAAAGAATGACTTTTCAGCTGAACGTGAACGATCAATTAACCGTTTTATACACATTTCTGTATACATTACAACCCGTTCAAAAAGGACAGAAATGTCACTCCAAAAATTTAGGCAATAAACAAAACCAAAGCAAGGTAGGACACATACAGAACGGTATTGATGACCACTAGGAAATTACCTGAGTAATATTTAGACACAGAAAAAACAAACGCGAAACAGGTCACACTATTCCACTATAGTATTCAAACGACAATGCAGATTTAATTGGTCAGTTGTTAGTGTAACTGTAAATTATCATTGATACTGAGTGCAAACTAGTTGTATCTCAAATCAACACACACACACTTAGACATCTGAACATCTTATCCATACATTAAAATAATATCTTTATACAATGCGGAATACTTAACTAATCATAATCTGAGTTTTCTACACCGCGTGCCAAGTGAACGCAATGATATACCATAAAAAAGATTGGAAAACACGATTATTTATTGACTGGACAAAAACATTAACGTATAAATCAATGAATATTCGATATTAAAACCTTACACTGGCACGTTTCACTCAGCATACATACTTGTCATCGGTATTTGAAGCAAAACTATCGCCCATTTTTTCGACAAGTTCGACGAATGGGATCTCATGAAGCGTGCAACACGAATAACTGGCTGGAACTTATTTCAAACAGCAAGAGCTAAGCAAGTGAGCTACTAAATCGCACATAACACATATCCCATGGATTGCCGCACTGTAAAATCTGCAGCGTACAACCATTTCTACAGTTAACTGACACGTCTTTTGACAGTAAGACGGTGAATTTAGTGACATGAAACTCGTACAAAGGAGAGAAAATATTAAACTGAAATCTGATTGAAGACTTTGTCGAACACTCACCTTAACCATCTGATCACGTCCACATGTGAGAATCTCAGGATCTGCCGATGACGCAGAGGCGCTTGTGCGCCACACAATATCACAGATATCCGTCTCATGAGCATAAAGGCGGGTCAACTGTACGATGCCTGGAGTTGAAGTATATATATATATATAATAACATATATTTCCTATCAATGTAGGACACACCAGTTGTGCAGGCATGGATAATTATCATTTAAATTACATGAATTTTATTTATAGTGAAATTACATGGTTGCTGTCCTCTCTGACATCAGTGAGTACATTCTGATAGTTAGTCGTTCAATGGAGCACATAAAGAAATATAATAATATTGTCTTCGCATTAACAAAAAAACCTAAGTATGTGTTGGATAAATTACAAATATTTGGGAAAAAATAAAGCTTGAAGTCAATTCCTCCATATAACTTTGTTGCGTGCGGCATCGTATCTTGTTTTATGTTCAAATTGGGTATTAATTTAAAATGAGTGATTAATTTTTATGATTTTGACATCATTTTTTGCAAGTAATACCAGATGTGAATTCAACTGAATGCAGATTAATATTGGTCAATTTCAAGCAGATTTGTTTTACTGCACTCAAGTCACCCATAGCCCGCCATTTGTCACAGCATGGTTGTTCCTTACGAGTAAGTTGATAAACACGTAGAAAGCTATATAAAAACCATTTTGAATGGTTGACAGTGCTTGTATAAGATGCTGTACAGCGTCTTGTTATGGTGACAGTGGATTTCATCAGGGATGCTGAGCCATTACTAGCCAAACCTTGAGGGATGATATATGAGTAAGTGACTTCAATTGTTTCTCAGCTTCAGTCGGAATGTAGATCAATGCAACTTGTACTACAAAGCAAATACAACAGGAATGTACCAGAGGGCAGAGAAAAAGTACGTGGATTGGGAAATATATGTTTATGTTCGTTGTACATTGTCGGTCGGTCGGTCGGTCGGTTTTCGACATAGAACTTTGCACATATGTGCGGCAGTTCAAGTCGCCACAATCTATGTAGCACGCAAGGCAAGAGAAGGAAGTAGAAGAAATGCATAATATAGACAGTAAACAGAGGTGTGAGACAGAGGAATAGTAATGACGGAGAACAAAACAGTTTAATTGGAAATCATAAGTCACAAGGAGTGGATGCATCTGCGCCACTGAGAACGATTTTGAGCCATGTCACCAATTGTTTCCAACCATTGGTTTTTACCATCCCGAGGGCCCCAACCAGGAAGTCTACATCTTCCTACGTGGCTTAGACTAACTGTTGTAGATTTCATTGATTGGTGCCATGTTTTCGTTTGACCGCCACTAGCTCTTTTCCAGCCTGGCCCTATATCAGCTAACATTGCCCGTCGAGGAAGGCGATGACTAGGCATACGTAGCACATGTCCTAACCATCTCAGTCGAAGTAATTTCACCGTTTCGTCGATTGATTTCCCCGCCTTACCTAGCACTCGACGCCTAACCTCATTATTGCTCACCCTACCATACCACTTCACGCGGGAGATAGAACGCAGACACC